CTACAGCTAAGATGCTGAACAACAGCTCAACCTGGAGCTGGGCTGCTGTGAGTCATAGGCTGCAGCCCCTGTGGCAGTGGGTTGCCATGGGCTACTGTGTGTAGCCAGCAGCCAGCGTGAGCGGCCAGCAGCCGCTATGAGCAACGGTCCAGAAGCCGGTGACTGATCTGCCTCACCCAGGAAGAGCGCAAATGATGGTGCCAACTTGGGCCAGTGAAGCAACATCCTCCACAACTAGACTGAAGAACAAAAAGGATAGCAATTTGTCTGTTCCCCTCCCCCAACTCCCCAATAAAAAAATCTTAAAAAAAAAAAAGAATACCTAATTCAACCTCATTACGGATGGGAAACAAAGGTCCAGAGTTTTTTCCTTTATACGGTATTGTTTTAAGTTACAAATAAATCTAATTTCGCATGGTACAGAAATGGCCCTATTTTTAAGGAACTAAGATTGCAAATAATAAAGATGAGGTGACTTTAAGACTCTTCATTTTCATGTTACATTTAATTTTAAATAATTGCAGTTTTATTTCCCAAACCACTTAATACTTCCAATTACATTTAAAATAAATTCACCCTTCCATAAACCAAAGCAAAGTTTGCCCCTATTAATACTGGTAATTTTACTTCATTCACAGGACACTTTAAAAATGGTATATCTAGCCAATTATTTTTATTTTGTTATATTTTATTTTGTTCTGTTTATTGGGGATGCTGTTATTGTTCATTTCAGAAAACGAGATGTTAGATTTAAAGACTGAATGAATAAATAACAGACAACATTCAGGGCAAAGTGAATTCATGTTTATAAACATGTAAGTCCTGTTTTAGGCAAAACAGTATAATGGTCCTATTATCCTTTTCTCAGACCAGATTTAAAACACTGGATGATTCAAATTGATTCAGATGTTCAAAATGAGAGATGATCTGGCAGTTAAGCTTAACACTGTTTTCTTTACAAGGGCACTTGGACTCACTACAGAATAAGACATATAAGTTACTGTTTTCAATATGTCTAGTGAATAACTTTAATTGAACCGAGTAAGAAGTAATAATAAAAACTACCTTTCTAAGGTGTAAGTTACCTTTAAAATAGCAGGCATGGTCACCTGCATTGAAAGCGTCTCTGTCAAGAGCCTGTAGAGGGCTTCCTTCAAAAAACACGATCTATTCCTGTATTGGCTCAATGCTTCTGAAATCTGACTCATATTGGCTCCTCCAGCAACCTGAAAAACAAAGATGTTACCAATAGGTTTCACCCTTCATCTTCAAGAACAGGTTTTTAGGGGCCCAAACGTTTGAAACAGTAATAGGAGTCCCGTTAAATGTTCCAGGTGCTTTATAAAATTGCTCTCATTCAATTATGATTCTAATAGGTAAATGTTCTCTTCAACCTCATTTTTACAGATGGGTTTAAAGAGGCAAAGTATGCTGCTAAATGTAACAGATTAAGTGGTGGAGCCAGATTCAAATATCATCTCCCTACAACTGTATTACAGTTAGGACCTCAACTGAAAAAATGGGTAGCATGTAAACCTTCAAACAACCAGTAATAATCATGAATGCATATGTCCTCTAAGTATAGAATAAATTAAATAAACAGGAAAAGGCAAAATAAAATAAATTGAAAAAGTAGTTAACCTTTTTCAGTAGTAGTAGTATTTTTACTTGTTTATTATTTAATATAATTCTTCCTTGCTACCACTGAAGTAATAATTTCAAAAAGTCTATAATAGACTGGATCTGGAGGATAAGAAGTACCCTCCTTATCCAAACCATAATGTCAACAAGGGGTGTAAATAAAACTAGCTATGACCCAGTTTTCACCATCCCTGAGTAGTGAAGGAAAAGAAAGACATAAAGGAGGAAAATTCAGAATCTTGAAAAATGAAAATAAAAACAACCTTGCTTTCTCCATTCCACCATGACCAGTAGCATCACCAACCATTGAAGAAATCTTACATCACTAAATTGACAAGAGAGTACTTCTAAATTAGGAACCCTGTCCATTAAATACCAAGAAATAAAAAATACTCAAATCAAATACATATAAAACTCCTATAAGAAATTTTTTAAAAGCAAATCTACACATTTCAGTTCAGAAAAGCTCTTCCTATAAACCAACAACAAATCAGAAGAAAACTGTTAACACTTTAAACTGAATTAAATATTCTCAATAAATTTGGGACACGAAAAAACACCTTCAATGAAAAGATGAAAGGTTGATTAAATTTAAGAAAGAAACAGACAAAATTATATTAAATATAATACTAAGTTACAGGAACCCAAGGAAAGATAGATTTGAATAAAAATTTACTAAGGGAAAGAAATACAAGACAAACGAGAGAAGGAAATTTTTTTAAGTAAGTAAAAAGAAGACTGAGGCCGAGTGGCGTGATGGTTAAGAACTGGCTTGGGATGCCAGAGGGCCCCGGTTCGGATCCCACGTATGAGGGCCAGTGACGCTGCCCCCTACAGCTAAGATGCTGAACAACAGCTCAACCTGGAGCTGGGCTGCTGTGAGT